AGTGCTAAGAAAACTGAGGCTTTCCTGACTAGAAGGAACCTGAAAATTCACCCTAACAATATAACAATATTAAAATACATGTGGTATTGAGAAAACATTTTTAATTAACATTCTTCTTTTTTCTTCTTTTTTGAGACAGGATCTCACTCTGTCACTCAGGCCAGAGTGCAGTAGTGCGATCACAGCTCTCTGTAGCCTCGACCTCCCAAGCTCAAGTGTCCCTGCTACCTCTGCCTCCCCAGTAGCAGGGACCACAGGCGTGCACCACCATGTCCGGCTAATTCTTTTACTCTTTATAGAGACGAGATTTGTTGCCCAAGCTAGATAGTCTTTTTTGGATAGAGAAAAGTTTATGTAACCTTAGGGAAGGTTGAGATATTTGCAAGACATTAGGGTAAATTTTAGGACTAAATGCAAAATCTCTGGAGAAGGTATGGGAAGAAATTACTTGAGGCTTCTTAGGAATTTTTGTTATGGTTTGATCATAAATACCATGCAAATATCTTTTGTCAGTGTGTTTTGGCAGTTCTTCCAGGGAGACCAGGGAGTGAAGAGGATTACAGAAAGAAGGAAAATGAGATTGATTTTACAACAGAAAAATGCAGTGAAGAATTCTGCAACCTTTCAGCTACTTTTCTACCTCATTCCTGTATCCAATACACAGTATTACATAATCTTTGTAAAAACAAAAATTCAAACTCTCAGATACAATCAAAACTTCATTTTATCCAACAATTCTGAGAATAACCAAAATTGAGTCCCCAGCGTTTGTCCTAGTATTGTAACTGTTAGCGTGATTTTAGTTTTAAGAGACTGAAATACAACATACCTTCAAGAAGAAAAGGAAATGTCTTGGCTCACAGAATTTAAGGAAGGTGGCCAGCAGAACCACTCCAAGGTGCACCGTGGCCTCAGGAACAGGAAGAGTTAGAAATGAACTGTCAGAACATGCGATCTTGTCTGCTTTTCTCTGTGTGTCTGCTTTATTCTCTCTCTTCATAAATCTTTTTCTAGATGAAAAATAACAATTCCTTCATTCTATAGCTGTAGTCACTTGGCGAAAAAAAATTTTAAACTGCCTTGATGCTTTTTCTGGAACGAAGTCCTAAAATCATAGGGAAGGGCTTTATTGAATTTAATTGGATCACTTGGCTACTTCTGGACCAATCAACAAGTTGGCCTGGAGAAGAGAGGACTAAGATTAGCTCACCTGAGGAACGGAGATCAACTGTGGCTAGGGGAGCAGGATCACATGGTAACTCAGCAGCTCCTTGGGTGTACCATAAGCTTGGCAATCGAGAAATGGAGAACCATTCCTAGGACAAGGTGAATGTTGAAGTACTGGGCAGAAAAACTATATGTTACTAGCACCTATTGCATCTCATGGAAAAACGACATTAGATATAAGCTGGTTATACCTAGTTTCTGGGAGGTTCAACTCTAGCCCACTTAAGTGATCCTAGATAGATGAGATATATAACCAACAGCATATCTGTGTGTCATGAAGAAATATCCAGATAGGGCAAATGGATTTAAATGATTGAAGGCCATCTTCTTCATGAAACCCTTTTGAACACTTATCTGAGCCATATCAAACTCTTGCAAGTATTTATGATCACTGCTACTCAGTTTATCAAATAATAATTCTACAGTTGCCTGAATATTAGGTCTACATCCCTAGCTCAGCTGTAAGTATCTTATTTTATGCTTCCTTTTACTAAAAGGCCTCTACACTAAGATTAGTGTTAAGGTCATAATTTATTCCACATTCATCCCATAAATGATTCTTGAGAGCCTACTAATTTCTAAGCAATATACTCAATGCTCAGGATACAAAGATGATCAAAGATGAATCCTTAAAGAGAGCGCATGATTTGATGTTTTTTTGTCACCATCACACTTAACATAGAAATCTAGCATGGCCAAATTTGATCTAGCAATTGAATTGCCTCTCCAAACACCAGTAGTGTATCTAGATGCAGTTTTGTTTGCCTATCCAGAAAAATCAGAATTTTCCTCCCTTTTAAGCCAAAAGGCTATTAAAGCAAATCCAATTGAATTTGCATATGATTACATTTCTGATGGAAACATTCATATGCAAATGAAAATTCATGCAAAGATAGCCAGATCATTCAAATAGTTGCTGAAATATCAAGATAAAATTAGGATATTAAATGTACATCCATCTATGTTTACTAGGTTACACTAAGGTCATTCAGTAGGAGAATATTCCCAGAAAACTTAAACCATGACTTAACCCTTAACTTAAACCATTTTACAACCCTCAAGGAGATACAAATTCAGAAAGAAGTTATTACGTTGTTTTCTGCTGTTATAGTACTGAAAATGAAGTCAGTCACTGATAAAATCAGTAAAGTTATTCAAAAGACATTCATCATGGCTCCACCATTGTGACCCTTTTATCTTTCCTTGCCATCAAAAGTAAAAGGTGATTTTTTTTATAGAACTGAAGTCATTTTGATTATCCAGAACAATGATCAAATAGTTTATGCAAGTTGACAGTTTCTACATACTCCATAGGGCCTCAGTGATGCAAGTCAAATGACGTCACAGTCACTACCAAAAAGTATTCATCGGAAAGCATCCATAACGTTGTGCATACATACAGTAAGAGGAAAGTCATCTTATCTAAAGCCCATATTCTTTATTAAGTCCAGCTAATAAAAGATTTAAGCAAAGTTTCAAGGTATAAAATCTTAATCCACCACCGTACATTCCAAATCTGTTTTTGAGGGAAATACAGGTCTTAGGAATCAGACCATTGTTCTTGTTAAACTTATCAAAAGTTATAGCTGCACAAAAGAAAGGTTTGAGATTATAGCATTCAGGATTATTGGTGCTTAGTTTAGAGGTCCACAAAGTGTAGATCTCCCACTTCCTTTTATTTGGTCCCCCATATATTTATGTATAGTTTCAAGTCTTTTTAGAATTCTAGTGTTCTTTGCTTTGATGAATATCACCTACTATCCATCAGATTTAGAAAGCCTAAACCTGAGAAAGCTATCTTAGCATCTCCCAACTTGAGAAACCAAATTCTTTCCCAAACAAATCTGAGGAATTTTATATCTTAGGTATTTCTCAAATCCAGCCACTTCCTTCATCTTCATCATCAATTCCTTAATGGTATCTTTTGCCTGGCCTAGGACAAGAACCTCCTGATTGGATTCACAGAATCTACTTTTCTCTTCCTCCAATTCCTATTATACTATAGCCAAAGATGTCATTTAAAAAAGCAAATAATCATCATTTCATCCAACTATCTTCCTTGCTTAATGCTCTTTAATTACTTCCTGCTTAAATCCTTAAGCTCTTACCTGCTGCATGGTCTGGCCCCAACTTGCTCTCCACACTTACATCATATGGTTCCCCTTTCACCCGCTGCACTCCAGCACTGTTTTTTGATTGGTTTTTTTTTGTTTGTTTTTTACATCCTGAGATGTCCTATACTTGTTTCAGTCACCTCATTGCACATGCTGCTCTTCTCTGGCTACTACCGTTAGTTGACTTCATGCTTCCTCAGTTAACACTTTCTTGATCTTCTAGCTGCCATCAGGTTCCTCTGTTACTTCTTTTATATCACCATATAACTTTCTTTCATCATACTTACCTGAGTTTGTAATGATGTGTTTACTTTGGAGATAATATCAACTGTATTACTCTCTCTCATGGCTTTCCAAAGGATGAGCCTAGATCTGTTTTTTTTTTTTTTTTTTTTTTGCTCGCCAGAGCATGATGTGATGCCTGTCACATACTAGGTATTCAATAAATACTTGTTGAATTAATGATGGTTCCGCTTTCTATTCTTCTCCTCTAAAACCCAAATTTGTAATGATGAAAGCAAAAAAAAAAAATGCCTAGCTTGCTTGCACATCATCCTGCCACAGTTGCCAATGAGAATTAGTATGTAAAATACTGTAATATTGTTTATGGTAGAGAAGATGAGGTGAAGAAGCTAGTGGCACCAAGGTTAACTGCTTTCAGAAACTATGATAATAGGATTCCACCATCAATTGTACCAGCAAAGTACTTTTTTCACCTACTTATGATGAAGAATAATATAACAGCTACTCTCCCACGTTTGTGTTGTGCATAAAGATATTATTTAGGATATCTATGCCACAACTTATTTCAGAAACACATCTAGAGGTTTCAAATATACACAATCTTATGACACAAGTTGCTAAAAATTGAGTTACAACTGCTATTCATTTCACAGAAATAGAGTCATAATTACAAAAGTTAAAATCGTATCAAAATCACACACCAGTTTCTTAACTCCCTCTGTTACTTTTTATTTTATTTCTATCAGCTGTGGGCTTAATTTTATTTTCAGCAGCTTTAAAATACCAAACTAAAGATTGAAATTATAGGGAAAGATAAAATGCCACATTCCAGTGACTTTTTTTAACAAACTTGCATTATTATCTGTCTAGGAATATCTTTCCTTTTGCATCTGTCTCAGACTATGTAGTCCTGGCTGTCTGTGACATTCAGAGGGTCGAGGGTTAAAAGCTTATATTTAGCAACAGGATGTATCTGTGGTTAGGGACATTCAGTCTAGTGGACAATGAAAAATTAAATATACCTTTCTTAAAAGAAAAGGAAGTTTCAGATAGACTATTAAAATAGCATTGATCTTATATTATCTTTCATGTTTATGGATCTTAGAATGTAGTTGTAGGTTTTTAAAATATTTTTATGGAAATCATTTTAAACTTCTTTCATTCTTTGTAAGTTATGCAGACTAATATTCCAGGAAGAAATAAAATAAAATGTTGAAGCCAAGTGTCCTCCTCCTTGCATATATTACAAGAATTAGCACTCAATCAATAATTGGTCATCTCCAACACTTCTTACAAATAAACTGGGTCTTGTAGTCTTATTGCAAGTCAGCATTTCTCGCTGGCTATGATGATGGAGATGGACTTGGCTCCTAAGAACACCCGGAAAAGATATTTCTTTTCCTTTTATGATTTCAGTGAAGAATGCAAATTGCACATCAGACTTTGAGGAATACTTTGCCAAAAGAAAACTGGAGGAACGCGATGGTCATGCAGTCAGCATCGAGGAGTACCTTCAGCGCAGTGACACAGCCATTATTTACCCAGAAGCCCCTGAGGAGCTGTCTCGCCTTGGCACGCCAGAGGCCAATGGGCAAGAAGAAAATGGTGAGGCTGTAAATCATTTTTAGCCACTACACTGACCTCTGCAGCTGTTACAATTACAAATGCACCACATGCCTGGGTGTTTACCTTAAAATTTGAAGAACAGCTGCAGAGGCATGGAATTTCATGAGCAAAGATTAGAACTGTAATTTTAGGGTATTGTGAAATTTTTTTGTCAGCAAATTTGTGTCATTTGTACATCCAATAAAGAACAAGAACAATTAGAGCCCATTTCTAAGAGATAAAAATATCTAAATGTATTCCTATCTTTCTGAAATATTTCACTTTTGAGGAAAAAAAAAGTTGAGATCGACCCTCCCTCACCTTGTGTTCTTCTCCACCAACACCTGAAATGCCCCTTCATGCTGTGCATTCCCAAGTCATCTGTGGCTACAGGTTTTATGGGAACTGTCAGTCACCTAAAGTGAATTTCCTCATTTATCAGCTGTTTAAGTCTCCCCCCCCAGAAAAAGCTGAAGTAATTAATTAATTTTCTAGCACAGTGTGAGCTGATTCCGACAAGTCTGTCCTGGGCGTGCGAGGGGACTGGTGTGCGAGGGGGGCCGGGTGCAATGATGGCACTCTGTGGAGCAGATTGCAGTGATTCCTGTCATACCATCCTGGGCAGTCAGCCCATTAGCTGCCATTGATTTACTGACCTTTTGGCCCGCTTCTCTCTCTCTCTGTCTCTCGGCTACAGACCTGCCACCTGGAACTCCAGATGCTTTTGCCCAACTGCTGACCTGCCCCTACTGCGACCGGGGCTACAAGCGCTTGACATCACTGAAGGAGCACATCAAGTACCGCCATGAGAAGAATGAAGAGAACTTTTCCTGCCCTCTCTGTAGCTACACGTTTGCCTACCGCACCCAGCTCGAGCGGCATATGGTGACGCACAAGCCAGGGACAGATCAGGTGGGGGGATGGTTTTAAGTGATTTCTTTCTATAATAACCCCTTAGAGAAACGATATTGCTTTGATTGGCAATCATTATTAATTTTTCATGGCATTTTGAAGATGCAGATCTTTTAATGGTAATAGCTTTAATTGAGGTCTAAATGATTTTTTGATGGTCTCTTCTAATATGATTTAATAGTCTTATGTTCACGATCGAATGAGTGTGTTAATTTCTAATTTAGAAATTTTATTTGCACTTTAACTTGACTTTAGTTTCATTTTTATGTTCCACAAAAAGTGAATGAAATTGTAGCATTTTAATTATACATTATTAAACATCTCAGCAATTTTAATTCCATTTTTCACCTCGTTTTACGTAGAAATTTTCTTTTCATATAGGATCTAAGTCATAATAAAAGAAGTGTGTATTTCTTTCATTCTTCATATAACACCTTCAATTACTTAGAGTATTTTTATAAGCTGCTACTAGTTTGTGAAATCTAAGTGTTTTAAGGAAAATCAAAAAGGCATATATTATCTGTGTATATACATAATAAATTGAATTAATACTAAATGGTTGGATGTACATTAAAAATGATCCCTTCTTGATATGGATATTTGTAGCTAAATGTTAAAATTGCTCCCCCTCTTTTTGCTTACTTGTCTCAAAAATAAAAACTCTGTCTTCAACAGGTAAGTAAGTATAGCTTCTTAAATCCTTAAAATGACTGAATAGGATTGATTCACAGTGTCCCTTAAATGTTACAGCAAAACTCTTCAGTCCCCCTGGGAGGACTGACTCTGCAAATTGACATTATATGTTTGCATGGACAGAAGTGGTGTGCCTTAAGTCACAATAGCTGGCCCTACAGATCTAGAATCACTTAATTTAAGTCTTGACACTATGTGTGTTTTTAAAATGATTGAACACGATATTATTATTTAACATTCTTAGTTTTTCCTTATAACCATCATTTTCTTTGAATAAGGAAAATGAGAATAAGCAAACACAATGAATAACGGTTATAATACTATATTATGGAATTGTACTATTTTAGGAGAACAGCTCATATAAATTATTCCATTTATATCTGATTGGGCTTGTCACCTGAATGCTTTTCAAAGATGAGTTATAAAAAATATGTTCGCATAGTTGCACTTATGTAACAGTTTATCTCCCCTTGCTTATATGCACAAAAACTCTAGAAAAAAAAAAGTGCCCAGATATTTATCTAGCATAACCGCTTTAAATATCACATGCAGAAGTGTGATTGTGTTGGCGCATTATGAATGGTAGCTTTGGTGTTGAAAAGTCCCCTCATTTGCTCATGGCATTTACAATTAGTAAATTAAAATGATTGTATCATATTAACAGTGGCACAACTAAAGTTTATAGTAGTCCTCTGAGGGCTGTGGGGGGAGACAAAGCAGCTGTTGCTGTTTGTTTATGCAACTCAGCAACATATGAGCGCTGGTCCCTCAATGGCGCTCGGCGGGCTGGGCTCTGCTTGATCTTTGAAGGTTGCTGCTGTTTGAACAAACCTCCCTGTGTCCCATGTAACACCATCTGTCTCACTAGGAATGTGGGAAGATTCAGCACACCCTAGCAGTTGTCATACCGTTTCTGTGCTGTCTTTTTGCAAAAGGCTTTTGTGTCATTGCTGCTAGAAAAAGGCTGACCTCCTACCTTGAGCATCCAGAGTGGATGACTGCATTTTTTTTCCAGCATTCTAAGTCATACTGCTTTTTTCCCCGTGTTCAAAAAGGTCAGCTGTGTTTGATCATATCTTTGCTGCTTTTAACTTGTCTTTTCAGCAAACTTTTTTTTTCTTTTTTGTCCCTACTCCCTAGCACACTACTAAAAAGGAAAATGAAAAGTCGTTGAAGTCTTTCCTACTGGCCTGTGATAAAACTGCTCAAGCAGCTATAACCCAAGATGTTGTCTCTTACATTTGATAATGAATCAAATCTGATATGTGACATCTCAGGGAAACCTGGGCTTATATTTGCCACTAGTATAATGAATAGGATATTTAAACATGCTCATCATGTAATGAAATATTTATAGACAAAGTTTTTTTGTTTGTGTGTTTTTGGTTTGGGGTCGGAGTCTTTTTTTTCTTTTTTAAATTTTAGATTGCTTCAGTGTAAGATATACTTTTATGCTGATACAAAAAAATTGATAAAATTCATTGTGTGGGATGGGTTTTTTGAGGCTATTCAGAATTTTCAATAAAATAGTTTTTTCTTGACAAAATTGTCACATTCTAGCAGAGAGTCTTCATATTTTAGAATTTGTAGTATACGTGAAAAACAACAAATATCTTTACAATTATACTTCCTCGCCCCTGAAGGTTCAAAGAAACATTTTGGAAAAGACACTACAGAAATAATTCTAAAGCAAGTGTTGGATGCGCATGTGAAAGCACTTTTTTTATTTGTTCCAATTTTATTACCAACATTATCGCTTTTATTGCAACTCTGAAAGACCGAGCAGATAAATAAGCATGCACTCAAACCTTTTGGCCTGTCTGAAAAATAGAAGCCTTTTAAAAATATTCATAACAAATTTTCTTTGTTCCTCCTGCACAAAACTAATGTCAGTCTTTCTCCTTTTATAGCACCAAATGCTAACCCAAGGAGCAGGTAATCGCAAGTTCAAATGCACAGAGTGTGGCAAGGCCTTCAAATATAAACACCATCTGAAAGAACACCTGCGAATTCACAGTGGTGAGTAGCAGAGGTGCTGGAGATCACATTTGCATTTTGTTTAATTAGGGGAGTTTTAAGAGATTGTTTAAAATTTACACAGGCCTGTTTGTAGCTTTTTGGAACTATCCATTTATTTCATCAACTCCGTGTGCCTGATTTGTCTTCCTGAGACTTATGGTACCACCAGTAGCACTGTCTTATAAAAAGAAGCAGAGTGCTTACACTTCTTAAAAATTACAAATGCTTTGATTTATTACAAAATCTAGAGGCTCCTTTTTGTCCTTTTAAAACCGCTTCTCCAGAATAAATATTTTTGACCTGAGGAAACTCAACTGGTAAATTCTAAAGAATATTAATTTCTGAGACCTAACCATGAAAAAAGAGGGTGAAGAATTTTGGATTAAAGCTATGTATGATAAATATTCCCTGATTCCTGAGGGCCGTGGATCACAGAACAGAATCCTACCACTGAGATTTCTTCTTTATAACTAGTTTGAGAGCTCTGCCAAGCATTTTATTACCAAATTGGATGCTATTCAAAGGACTAGTTGGATTGGTAGAATCAATGGAATCTCCACAAAGTTGATTAAAGCCATGGCTACACTTCCCTTTAAATACTGTGACATCTTTATTGTGCTATTGACCACACATTAATCTGACACTCTGTTTAAATAGGGGGCTGCTGATGGCAAGACAAGATTTGGGATCTCAGCTGGAAAAGGCATAGATAGCCCTTACCTTCCACTGCAAGCATCTTGAATTATGTCCTCCCAGGGTAGATAAAGCCCAGAAACAGTTATGGTCACATAATTCTAATCTAAGTACCTAGAATGTAAAGGTATCCCATTGTGTTCCTTTCACTTGGTTTCACAGATTCTTGTCTTAGTAGACAACTGCAATTGTTACCTAATCAAGGAAATGTAACGTTAATTTTAATTATCATTTTAGGTGAAAAACCTTATGAGTGCCCCAACTGCAAGAAACGTTTCTCCCATTCTGGTTCCTACAGTTCGCACATCAGCAGCAAGAAATGTATTGGTTTAATCTCTGTAAATGGCCGAATGAGAAACAATATCAAGACGGGTTCTTCCCCTAATTCTGTTTCTTCTTCTCCTACTAATTCAGCCATTACCCAGTTAAGAAACAAGTTGGAGAATGGAAAACCACTTAGTATGTCTGAACAGACAGGTTTACTTAAAATTAAAACAGAACCACTAGACTTCAATGACTATAAAGTTCTTATGGCCACACACGGGTTTAGTGGCACTAGTCCCTTTATGAATGGTGGGCTTGGAGCCACCAGCCCTTTAGGAGTTCATCCATCTGCTCAAAGTCCAATGCAGCACTTAGGTGTAGGGATGGAAGCCCCTTTACTTGGATTTCCCACCATGAATAGTAATTTAAGTGAGGTACAAAAGGTTCTACAGATTGTGGACAATACTGTTTCCAGGCAAAAAATGGACTGCAAGGCTGAAGAAATTTCAAAGTTGAAAGGTTATCACATGAAGGATCCATGCTCTCAACCTGAGGAACAAGGAGTAACTTCTCCTAATATTCCACCTGTCGGTCTTCCGGTAGTGAGTCATAATGGTGCCACTAAAAGTATTATTGACTATACGTTAGAAAAAGTCAATGAAGCCAAAGCTTGCCTCCAGAGCTTGACTACTGACTCAAGGAGACAGATCAGTAATATAAAGAAAGAGAAGCTACGTACTTTAATAGATTTGGTCACCGATGACAAAATGATTGAGAACCACAACATATCCACTCCATTTTCATGCCAATTCTGTAAAGAAAGTTTTCCTGGCCCCATCCCTTTGCATCAGCATGAACGCTACCTTTGTAAGATGAATGAAGAGATCAAGGCGGTCCTGCAGCCTCATGAAAACATAGTCCCCAACAAAGCCGGAGTTTTTGTTGATAATAAAGCCCTCCTCTTGTCATCTGTACTTTCTGAGAAAGGAATGACAAGCCCCATCAACCCATACAAGGACCACATGTCTGTACTCAAAGCGTACTATGCTATGAACATGGAGCCCAACTCCGATGAACTGCTGAAAATTTCCATTGCTGTGGGCCTTCCTCAGGAATTTGTGAAGGAATGGTTTGAGCAACGAAAAGTCTACCAGTACTCAAATTCCAGGTCTCCATCCCTGGAAAGAAGCTCCAAGCCATTAGCTCCCAACAGTAACCCTCCCACAAAAGACTCTTTATTACCCAGGTCTCCCGTAAAACCCATGGACTCCATAACATCACCATCTATAGCAGAACTCCACAACAGTGTTACGAATTGTGATCCTCCTCTCAGGCTAACAAAACCTTCCCATTTTACCAATATTAAACCAGTTGAAAAATTGGACCACTCCAGGAGTAATACTCCTTCTCCCTTAAATCTTTCCTCCACATCTTCTAAAAACTCCCACAGTAGTTCGTACACTCCAAACAGCTTCTCTTCTGAGGAGCTCCAGGCTGAGCCTTTAGACTTGTCATTACCAAAACAAATGAAAGAACCCAAAAGTATTATAGCCACAAAGAACAAAACAAAAGCTAGTAGCATCAGTTTAGACCATAACAGTGTTTCTTCCTCATCTGAAAATTCAGATGAGCCTCTGAACTTGACTTTTATCAAGAAGGAATTTTCAAATTCAAATAATCTGGACAACAAAAGCACTAACCCAGTGTTCGGCATGAACCCATTTAGTGCCAAACCTTTATACACAGCTCTTCCACCTCAAAGCGCATTTCCCCCTGCTACGTTCATGCCACCAGTCCAGACCAGTATTCCTGGGCTACGACCATACCCAGGACTGGATCAGATGAGCTTCCTACCACACATGGCCTACACCTACCCAACTGGAGCAGCTACCTTTGCTGATATGCAGCAAAGGAGAAAGTACCAGCGGAAACAAGGATTTCAGGTAAAGAGACAAATGCTTTTCTGCTCTGAAGAAAAGAGATGGCAATTGTTTTGATTATGTGCATGTGGGGAAAAAAATCTTAGTGAAAAAACTCAGCAGAAACAGAAGAGTTTGTTTTAACATGAACCTAAAACTGTCAGTGGGCTAGAAAAATGGATGAAACAGTGGACCACTGTACTCTAAGCAAATTTCTTTAAAAACAAAAAGGATAAAGAAGAAATTTAATATTTATTTTTGAGAGTTATTTAGATGGACTCATCTGCTTTTAGAAGTATACATTGGTAGCCGGGCGTGGTGGCTCATGCCTATAATCCCAGCTCTTTGGGAGGCCGAGGCGGGTGGATCATGAACTCCAGAGTTCAAGACCAGTCTGCCTGACATAGTGAAACCCCGTCTCTACTAAAAATACAAAAAATTACCCAGGTGTGGTGGTATGCGCCTGTAGTCCCAGCTACCTGGGAGGCTGAGGCAGGAGAATCATGAACCCAGGAGGCAGAGGTTGCAGTGAACCGAGATCGCGCCATTGCACTCCAATCTGGGCGACAGTGAGACTCTCTCAAAAAGAAAAACAAAAGAATTATACATTGGGACAATATTTAGCAGGACTTACCTAGGTTGTAGAACTTAAAGTTTATAACTGTCACATGCTTTTAAAGATGTGCACAGGACAAGTGCCGTGGCTCACGACTGTAACCCAGCACTTTGGGAGGCCAAGGAGGTTGGATCACTTGAGGTCAGGAGTTTGAGTCCAGCCTGGCCAAGGTGGTAAAACCCAATCTCTCCTAAAAATACAAAAATTGGCTGGGCATGGTGGTGGGTACCTGTCATCCCAGCTACTTGGGAGGCTGAGGCAGAAGAATCACTTGAACCCAGGAGGTGGAGGTTGCGGTGAGCCGAGATCACACTATAGCACCCTAGCCTGAGTGGCAGAGCAAGACTCTGCCTCAAAATAAATAAATAAAAATAAAGTTGTGCACAACTTGCAATAATACATATACAAATTTTAATAGATACTTTTGTTTTACAGAGAATGGTTTATTTTGAAGAGTATTTTTAAAAATGTTTTTCATATTTGATATGACCTCTTACTAAACTTCAAAGTAGTTAATAATTATGTTTTTTCAAATAGGAAAGCAGGTATATTTTAACATTATGCAGCATACAATCTTTGTTTGCAAAATAGGAGCATAAGTAGCAGTGCACCTCTGTAACAGCTGTTCCAGTATTCCAGTTTACAGTACATCTGCCCTCTTTGTAAATGTATTTAAGCCTATTTAATCTTCTCTAATATTAATTAGTGCAAACGTAGTCTAAGAAAACTGAACTGTGGGCTAGTAAATGGAAATGTATGTTATCATGCAAGTTTGCACTCCTTTGGATCAAGACAAAATAAATATCAAGAAATTTAATAATTTACTGATCCACATTCATTATTGCTCAATGCTGAAGGCTGTTTTAACATAGAACATTGATAAAAAGTGTTATTAATATTCCCTATTTCAAATTAGAAAATTAAATATAAAAATATAGCTTAAGGCCTTTAGTTGGTAGACATACATTTAAATAGATTGCATAATAATAACATTTTGTACCTAAATATAAAATTCAATTAAAATGGGGTTTCTACAGCTACAGATCATTTCTAAAGTTAAGCACACTGGAAAACACACAAATTTCAATATTAAATTTTCACTCATGGGTATTTCTTGGTATAAAGGAAATGAAAGATTTTAGAAAAATGTGTTTTTCTCACCTTCAGAGTTGACCATTTTCCCTCCTCAAGAAACAGTGAGCTCTACCTTCCAGGGCAGAGAAGGTTTATATTTTTGTTGCAGTGTGAGACCTCATATATTGTTCATAGAAGAAAAAATTGTTTAACTAGATCAATTAGTAGCAAGCACTTTTGAGGTTCTTCAAATGTCAGCCTATGCGAAGTTGTTTGGTGTGAGCACAAACAGAAGCCGCTGTATTGAACTGTGTGATTCTATCGCAGGGAGAATTGCTTGATGGAGCACAAGACTACATGTCAGGCCTCGATGACATGACAGACTCTGACTCCTGTCTGTCTCGCAAGAAGATCAAGAAGACAGAGAGTGGCATGTATGCATGTGACTTATGTGACAAGACATTCCAGAAAAGCAGTTCCCTTCTGCGACATAAATACGAACACACAGGTATGAGTGACTTTGCCTAGCTGGTTGGAGCTTCCTGGCCTGCTGTACATTTCATAATATTTAATGAGCACACTTGTGCAACATAAGATGTAACATATGCTGATACCTTCAACAAGGAAGAAATAATGCTTTTGCCAAGCCCAGTAGGACATTTTTGTTGCCTGTTTATTGGATCATTCATGTGTTTATGAGTGTGCTTGTCTTCATATCTTTCCAGTTATTCTGTAAAGAAAATTTACAAATCATGTCAAAGGGACAGTCAAATGGCCAGGGCAATTATTGAAAATATCTTAAAAGTCTTAAGTTTCAAAGCTTAAAATTCTTAAGTTTCAAAGCTATATATGTAAAACTCTAATAAGAAATTTAGTCACTAATACATTAGTTTCAACATCCAAAACACCAAGAAAGCTGCAATTTAGGGGTAATTTTTTTAAATTGGCCACATTTTGAAAAAAGTAAAAGCATTGGTGCCATAAAAAAAAGTAAGCTATTTGAAACCACCTATATTTGGAAGACTGAAATAAAACTTTCTAAATTTTAATTAGATACTTCCAATTCATGCATTACTAATTAGGAACAATTACAAAGAGTTGACAAGAAAGCAGCCTAATTCTTCACTATGAGTAGAGAGGGAGTGGGTTAATTTTTGGAAAGAAAGATGAAGTGCCATAATGTAAATTAATATTACTTTGCACAATCCAAGATCTGCAGCTCTGCGGTCGAGTGCCATTTGTGTGTCCTCCCCCAAGTCCATCCCTACCTCCCTGAACAATAAGCTAGCTCAACCTCGTCCCTGCCCCAGCCCATCTCCAGCTCTTCTCCACTAGAAATTTGGCATGCTCTATTAGCCCTGGATAGGGGAGTGGGGAAGAATGTAGGATCTCAATCAAAATATTGGCAAAAGTAGGGGACTATAGGAAAACATCTCATTCTAAACCAGGAAGACTAGTATCAAACAATTTAAAATGGAGGGACAAAATTAACGTAACATTTTGGGGGAAAAGCTTTTTTGGGGAAAAGTGATGATGAGGCACAAAAGAAAAAGAAAGAAGAAAAGAAAAGGGAATGTGAGCCAGGTGCAGCAGCTCATGCCTGTAATCCCAGCACTTTGAGAGGCCCAGGTGGGAAGACTGCTTTAGCCCAAGAGTTTGAGACCAGCCAGCACAACATAGCGAGACATTGACCCTACAAAATATTTTATAAAAATTAGCTGGACATGGTAGCTCGAGCCTGTAGTCCCAGCTACTCAGGAGGCTGAAGTGGGAGGATGGTTTGAGCCTAAAAGGTCGAGGCTGCAATTAACCGTGATTGTGCCACTGCACTTCAGCCTGGGCAACAGAATGAGACCATATCTCAAAAAAAAAAAAATGTGAAGGGAAGGGGAATACTTTCTGTCATATTTTTGAATGCCTAGATACATGGCACTCTTTTCTGTCATTGAAAACTGTCCTTGGGATGTACTTGTACTCATCCTCTGCCCTTATTCCTCATTGGGCACATGCTGGAGGCAGTGCATGTGACCAGTATCAGCCTGAGAGTTTGGGGAGGGATTTGCCAAGAAAACAAGGTTGATAAAGAACAGGGCTCTTACTCCAATCAGTACAGTTTTTCTTCAGCTGTCTAATATTTATTGTTGTTATCTTAAAAGTTTAATGATACCTTAAAGACAACCCAATCCAAATCCAAGCATCTTTTCTATTTGTGTTATATAATTCAATGTTTGAAGCATCAAAATTTTCCTACATTTATCTTTTAGCGTATTTTCTTTAGTACTAAGTGCTACTTGAGCATTTATAAAGATATTTTCATACCTAAATTTTACTTTAATTTTAATATTTTAATCAACCTTACATATATTTTGTATTCCATTATTCAGCTACAATAGGCACATCATTGAAGGCATCTTTCCCTCTCTGATTGGTTTTATTATATGACCATATGCAAATCCTATCATTCACTACACGGTGAGTGTACAACTTTTATTTTAGTGAGGGCTATCATACATAGTGACATCCAGTCATATTTACTTCTTATAAATTAGAGAATTATAAGCTTCATAGGTCTATAGATAGTTGAGAGACCCAAAAGTTGACAAACACAAATATGCATAATTTATTTTAAAAATAAACTTTATTTTTTAAAGTAAAAATAAAATATTCTGGTCCTTTAAGATGTGAGAGCTGCTGCCTGGAAACATTGCCTAGCAACAAGATGCTAATCATCCAATGGCTTCTCTAAACTTGTGATTAATTATCTTCCTGTTGGTTTTCCAACTTGTCAAGTTTCCAGCATGTTAACTTTTTGGTCACTTGACCAAACATCTCATGACATTACTACTGTCAGTGAATTAGATACTATTCAAATGAAGTTCATGAATTTTTTATTGATATGATATATGTGGAAATTTAGTCCATGTTGCTATCCCAATTGGGCCCCACTAGCTTTTTATTTGTTTACATTAAGCACAAGTAATATTTTGAGAATGCACTAATATGAAAATTATAAGTTAGAACTGTCTTGGGACTGATTGATTCTAAGGTTGGGAAATAAAATTAAATCATCATTTCATTATGCATTGATTATGAATGTGTCGTTGATAAAGTGTGTTTGTGATGTCTGTCTACAATTTCACGTATAGAATCATTTAACTTAAGAAGGAAATTATGAGCTACTTATTCTTGGAACCCAGTGCTTTTTTTTTTTTTTTTTTTTTTTTTTGCCTCAGCTTACTTCCTAGGCAGATACCAAAGTCATCGTACTTCATTTTTCTTACCAATGGCTTATTGCTTGCTTGCTTTTCCTGGGACCTGGGACTGGGACAGAGGAGGGAAACACTATGTAAATGTTGACTTCAACAGAATTAATTGTCACAAACAAGGACTGTGAAATTAAACACTCTGAAACTCCTGTTAGGCACCGTCAAGAACTCGTTTGTATTCTGCTAATATTTAAATCTGACCTTTATTGAGTACTTTCTCTGTTGAGACGTCATGGTAGGTGCTTTTTAAACCCACTTTATTTAGAAAAGTAATACAAATGTTTCTACTTTTGAGTAGATAAAGTCTAACTTTTAAATAAATTACCAGTCAATTTTGTTTCGCTGTCATATGGTAATTTTTTTCATACCACAAACCTTTCATTTATTATTAACTTCAGTTATCATTCTAGCCATCAGGTGAATCATAAATCTAGATATTAGAGAAAATATTTACTCTAAGAAAGTTTGATTCATTCAGTATCAATCTGGAAGTTCTGAATCTTGGTCATGTGGAAATTTAATTCTAGATTTGAATCAAGTAAACCAACAAAACAAGTTAAAAAGAGATGAATGTCTAAGTCAATTACTATTTAAATTAAATTTATTAAATGCTTCCCACTGAAACTTCTGGAGATCAGTAGAACATTTAGTGTAAGGTTTATGTCAAAACTCTCACTTACTCCCAGATTTTATCCTTTGCATGATATCATAACTGAACATTTTATTTTTTCAGGTTGTCAATTCATAATGCAGGATTAATATGTCTATTATAAGCATACTGTTTATTATTGAATGAGTTCTCTGAAAACTGAATGCCAGTAGCCATGGCATAGCTCTAAGACAGACTGCAGTTTAGTGAGTATGCCCGAAGCATTGCTAACAGGCCTTGAAAACTATACCAGAGAATGCTTGCTCTCTCTCTCTGGACACTGCTCTATGTTTTGTTGCTTTGGAAAAGAAAACCATATCAACTGTAATGTTCATTCAGAATTATTCATACAGTCTCTCCAAGAAGTCACCTAAGTAGTTGACCTTTTTGTGCTCCTGAGCTGATGAGACATTAGTATCCAAAAGAGGCTGCAGGACAGGTTGCCCATGTATGCTGTAGCAACTAGAGCATCGAGAAAATTTTCATCTACAATTTCTATTCTCTCTGTTCAGATTTATTACTTCCACGTACTCTGCTCCTGCTGCATGCATCCTACTTATAACTTGAGAAATTATTGAACATGTATTAATGAATAAGAATAAAATGATCCAATAGTAATTGCGTTCCTACTATGTGCAATCCTTGTACTTATTATATAAGTTGTCTTCCTTATTCCTTATGCCCAGTCCACAAGTTAGGTCCCCAAAGGATCTCCCTTTTACCTACAAGGACACTGATCCTGAGAGGAGTTAATGTGCCTAATAGTGCACAGCCTGTCATAAACAATGGATTTAAACCCAGATAATAAGATTCATTTAACACTGCACCATCCTGCCCCTATGGATGAATTGCTGCGGCTAGAAATGTCTTATCCTGTCTCCTGGTAGTATCAGTTCCTTTAAGGTCCAAGTCTACACAAGAGAGACCAAATTTATAACATAATGACAAGAAGTTTCCTGGAAGGCAAAACCTCTTGTCTTTTTCCCAAATACACTTCTTCTTCCTCTTAAATTACCTTCCCACCATGGTGGTCTTTCCAAATGGAAAAGCATGCTATCTTTGTAGACTCTTGGCACTCCATTGGAATTCTCTGTTATCCAGTTTACCTCATTCAAAACATCTTTCCAAAAGTTAAAGAATGGTTCTTGTGTGGTTTGAATTATACTTGTTTTCTTCAGAGTATTAGCTACCTTGAAGTAGGGCATTAGAATTGTCTTTATTTCCAGTATTACTAGTAGTCACCAACAAATATCTTTCTGATTTCCACTCTTCCAGTTAAGTAACTTCTTCCTACTCTAATATTGTACCTTACTACATTTATCATTACTAAATTTCTAGTAGACATTCCAGTAAAATAAAGACCGTTAATGAAATAACACATAGCAGTCTACAGTATTTTCTGAATAGTGACATGCCCAGGAGGCATTGGATAACATTACTAAAGATATTTAATTACTGATTGAGATTTTATATCACCACATATCAGAATACCTAAAGTGTGTAGAATGGGTTCCTAAACTTATAACATGACACTTAGCAAATGAAAATGGGAATGGATCTACTATGTTGGGTTTTCATTTAATTTGCTAAAATGCAAGTTTGTATTAGGACATAAAGCACACAACCTCATGTATGTTACAGTTCATGGTGCTCTACATGACACATTTCTGACTTTAACTCTGGAGCATCAGGCTGATAATTTTTTTTGTCACTTCTATTTTGGAAATAAACTTTTAAGTATGGCAGCTATGGAAGGTGTTGAAGGCATTCCAGTGCTATTTGTGGCCTGGAATCAACCAGATGTGTTTAGGCTTGGCACTGGCTTTAAGTTCCAAACACTGGTTAGAAACTGCCTGGAATGCCAAAGGAAATACAGCATTCCCTAGCTGAAGAGTATTTTAACACTCAACAAGTGGCTGACATCTTATGGAAAACTTTAGAGGGAAAACACTATTTGGAATTAGTTCAGCCTCCATGATATACACCCTTCTAATTTTTGTTTACTAATGGTTTCTTCTCTGATTTTTATTCTTAGAATGCTGTGACTGATAAAACAGACTTGACATCCTCTTTCCTCTATTTCTTCCGCTCCCTCCTAACTTGGCAGTTTGCTCCCATTTAAGACCTAAAGCCCCCTTTCAAAGCAACTATCTCATGATGTAACAAGCAGAGGATATAAATGCCAGTGCCAGCGGTGATGCCATCTTTATCACTTTTGTACAAGTCTTTGTTTTAAAAATGTAAGGAAGAGAATTATGAAAACATGTGCTAGATCACTAGAAATGTCTTGTCGAGTAGGACATTTTTCCAAGCTTATAAACGAGGCAGTTAGCAATGGAAAGCTTCCTCTCTGAGAATTTTCCTCCAGCAGCTTTCTAAGTTCTTGTTTATTAACTACATTGCATCAGCAAGCATTAGAAAGCCAAATTATGAGATGGAAATGCATCTTCCTAACTCTCCTTCGATTAGACCGGGACATGTTGATCTTTCAGGCATAAGCACACACACTTATGCCTGAGTCTGGACTCAGGTACAGAATTATTGGAAAGAGACTTCATGCAAAGACACTAATCACCCTGTCATCTTGTTCTTTCTCCCAGGAAAAAGACCACATCAGTGTCAGATTTGTAAGAAAGCGTTTAAACACAAGCACCACCTTATCGAGCACTCAAGGCTTCACTCGGGCGAGAAGCCCTATCAGTGTGA